ATAAACTAGGTATCGCTGACTTCTTTGATAATAATGCTCTGTATAAAGCCAAAAGACTGTCACGTCTTTTTTTTATAGATTAAATGAAAAGTTACTACATACATATATTAAATTTATGAAGATCTCTTAGGCACATGCAAGCAAATAAAAATATCAGATTTTATGAAAAAAGTAAAAAAATCACAATGCTTTGATCAAAGTCAACAAGAAAGCCCAGAAGACAATATTTTGCCAAAAAGTTACCATTAAATAAGGTTTGCCCTTGTTTAACAGTGTTTAGCATTAAAGAAAAAATTAATATTAACATGCAAAACTTTTAATTGTGATTGTTAATAAATTATTGATTGCTTTAACAAACATATTTCTCTTAATTACAAAACAGAATAGTAAATTTTTAACTTTTGAAACCTAACCCTATGTTTCATATTAATCCTTTGTTTTGTACAGCACAGATTTGCATGACACAGCACTTTTTTTGGAATCTAACTACCATGTTAAACAGGAGACAGCTGTATTATAGTCAAAACTATTTTTTTTAACATTAATATTTAAATATTCTTTTTCCATTTTTACCTTACATTCCATAATATGAAAGTAAAGATATGGCAGTTGTTGTAGTGTTATTGTAAAGAATCTTATTTAAAGAAAACTGTCCATCCACATTAATTAAAACTCAACTTTTTAACTTGCAAATTTTAATACAATTAAATTATCATTCACATAGCTAGATAGCATTTCTCTTTATTCAACTGTTGGCTTGACTTAATTTTTTACTTCAGCCGTGTTAAATACACAGCTGAAGTAAAAAATTAAGGAGGAAGTTTTGCCAGGAACATTATTATCAACAAGTTGTTTAACTTTCCCAGCAAAATAATTAATGTGTTATAAGATTTTATTAAAAAACTTTTTATGTTATTATTATGAAATGACAAATATCCTAATTTTGAGGAGAGAGACAAGTTTCATAAAACAGTGTAAATACTAATAACAAGTAAAATCTTCATTAAGTCCATCCAACTCCACCCAAGGTATGACACACAACCCTTTCTATCTCTCCATTCCCTCAACCTTCAACTACCAAAATTTAATAGCACCAACTCCTCTAATACACAAACCTCCCTGCAGAATTTCAGAAATTTTTGACAAAAGGCACAGGAGTTATAAAGTGGGTGGTGAACAAAATTATACCCCCCACATATGCTAACATCCATACATACAGAAAAATCCCCCAAATTTTCTTACAAAGTGTAAAAATCTTGAAGGATCAGTTTTAACTGATTGCCATACTTTCACTCTGTTATACATAACAGTCAGGAAAACAAAAATAAAAAAAAAATTCTAAAAATACAACTTAATTAAGCCAAAAGATTACCAGATTAAATCAGGCTACATTATCATACCAAGTAATTATTAAATATCAAGTAATATGGCACTAAAGGTAGGCATTAGGCACAATCTCTTATTAAATTTATTTATTTATTTAACTTAAATTAGAATGTTAAGGCTCACACAGCCAGAATCCCCTTAAACATTTACTGTACAAATAACTATCAAAAAACAATCAAACATATAAAAATAGGCAAGAAAACATATCTACAGAAAAAAAATTTAAATTATATCCATGTAATTTAACAATAATACAATCCTACAAAAAAAAATAATAATACAATAAAAATTAAATTTAATAAATAAGAACTAATTAAGAATTACAAAAAGTAAAAATCATTTTTACATAGTTGATGGAATCATTTAAAATTAAGATGTAAATAAAATTGAACAGATGCTAAATCATTACAAATCTAATAAAAGGAATGGCAAGATATATTCAATCTAAACAAAGAATTATAAATTTGGTTTACATTATGAATGTGCATGTTTGGTACTCAAAGTATTGGAAAAACTGAATTAAAAAATTCATTACAGTATTTATGGTAAAATATTTGAAAATAGTTTATTTGTCCATAAAAATTTGGATGAGATTTAAAATGTAGCTAGCATTTGTTGGAAATTGGTAAAAAAAAAAAAAGGTTCGATAATTATGTAGAAACAATTTATTGTGACATCATCACAATGCCAGGCTGCAATTTGTAGCCATATTTTTAATTTATTTAATTTAAAATATATGCTCTCCACCTGAAATTAGCAGCTTGCCCCTGTACATCATACTTTTCCTTTAACAATAGAGTTGTGCCAGTCATCTAGTAACTCCTTTCGGGAGAAAAGTTTTGAACTGAAATAACATGACTTCTGCTTTGCATTGGACGTTTGTATATAGTTAATTGGGTCATCCAGCCCCTAAGGTTTTCATATCTGGTCTTGTCTTCCATCTATTTAACTCTGTCTTGAGATTAAGGAAAGACAGACATGTAGACAATAGGGGGAATTTATAGGTCTACAATTTTTTCAAATTGCAGCCCAATAAGTAAGATTTATTCAATTCAGATATGTTTCTGAAGAGAAGATTTCAGTGCCATAACCCAAAAAACTTAGAAATAAACAATGATTCAAGTATCTTTTTCTATGCAATCATTTACAAGATGTTCAAGGACAACTGGTTTAATCTAGATTTTCTCAAGCTATAGTTAAGTCACCAGTCAAAAGTAATGGTGTATATTTATGTTTTTAGTCCCTGGTAATATGACAAGAAATGAGTAAACACTCTTATTAAGTTATTAACCAATTTTAGTGTTGAAGTCAATAGTAATGTTTCATTCCCAACAGATGTTACAAACTGCACTTTGGTGCAACTAGAATTTATCTGTGATCATATTGACACTCTATTTTATGCTAACTTAAGGTCTTTCGACACTTGAACACATTTTCTAGCAGAAAACAATTTCAGGCATCTATTACAATAGAGAATCATTCCATATATTTTAAACATCTACAATCCAAACTGCCATACTTTCTTACCAATTTGGCATTCGTTTTTATTTTATTTTTTACTCACATTGTTGATGGAACCAAACTCAACATAACAAAATATATTCTGTGCATGCTCCACACGAAGAAGTTTGATTACTTTACGCACAAGAAATTACCTATTATATCTAATTAAATACAAGTTTAACCAAAAGTAGGTGGACAGTAGGTGGAATAGGGTTTGTGTTAGGGTTATACTATATTAATAGTGTATATTTAACTTGGTCATGGGTGTGGTTAAGTTATCTTTGTGAATACACAAAGATATTTATGCAAAAATGTTTGTTGAAGCATAAAATAGTGAAATGTAGACTTCAAAGCTGTGTAAACTGTGATGAACAGGAGTTTGAGATCCTGTGTTGATTATATTAGTAAATATAATTGTATATGTAATCTCAAAATTTATACATATATTTAATCTCAGTAAATGTTATCATTTACTATCCACCTACTTTCGGTTCACCCTGTATTATATTTCACAGTTTTTCAAAAATTCAGTTATAGCATTTACAATCATTTTAACCCAATCAATTTAAAGAGTTTTCAGAATTTGAAAAATGAGAGATTTCCTTGTAAAACACATTTGTTCCCGAGACTTTAAAAGAATACAAGACAGAGAGTTCAAATTTAAAACTTGAATTTCCTGCACTAATTTATAATTGAATGGCAGTACAATATTTCTCACATGAACTGTACATGCACAAAAAATAGATTCACCATACAGATAGCAGAAACAGTCTATAGATCACTTAAAAAAAGGATTTGTAATCATACAAACCACCTATAAAGTTTACAACACATTTATTTAGTTCAGAAAATGGTAAAATCTGCAAACTATGCAGTAAAAATGATCAATGCACATTTCACACGTTTAAAAAATGCACATAAAGTACGCATCATCGAACGACCCGAATTCGATCCACCCGAACCCAAAGTGCTACGGTGTCAAGATTTCGACACCGTAGCACTTAAAGGAAAAACGTGCTCGGGCACATAAATCCGACCCCCAGACGTAACCAAAACGTTAGTTTTACCACTTCCAAAACCATTTCTAAACAGCAGCTCACTCACAATGCTCTAACAACAATAAAAGTCGTTTCATTCCACCTTTTGCAAGTTTATATCCAAAACATATACACTTTAACACGATCTCTTCATTTTTATGACAAAGTTTAAAAATATAACATCAAATCAACATAAAAGCGCGTTCCAGACGAAACAAGTGCAAATGCACGGTTCCACCCACACATAAGCAAACAGAGGGCAATTCTTCCACCCGAAGCAAATTACGAAATCTCTCGACAGCAAAAACTCCGGACGAAGGCAAACGTACCGCTCGGGGGTAATTCCGCCACTCCTCCGACCGGCCGTCCACGAGTCTTATCACCATTTTCGACGACACCCAAACGAATCGACCCGCCCGTCTTCGTCCGGGACGGCAACGACATTCCGCATCCGCCACGCACGTTACCGTCGGTCTAATTTCGACTCCTGCAGCCCGCCAGGCGGGGAAGTTCCGGAGCGGCATCCACAGAAAACACACCGTTTCCGACCCCTCTGCCCGAGGTCCCCCATCGCCCACAGGGGCGACAGAGGCCGAGAGACCGACACCCGGACGGGCTCCAACCTCTCTAAAGGGTCGCGCCACGCGCCCCTTCAGAGAAGTTTCTTCGCGTCGACGACGGAGTTTTATCGGAATCTGCGCCAAGGAGGGAGCGAAACGGTTATTTCGGGCGGCGTCGGGGGGCGACGAAGATCGGGAACCGAAAAACGACACGAAAATACCGCGTCGGACGGGACGCCAACGCCTGGTAATGGTTGGGCGACGATGTGCGGCGGCAGAAGGGCAGGTCCCGACTAATAAAAGGCAAAAATCGATGAAAGTAGCAACAGGCCGATCCGGGGAGGGGGGAATCGCCTCTCCCCAGCCACCGCAGGACGGTAAAGAGACTTTTAAAAAACCGTCGGCCGGACGCCAGATATTTTTAAAAATCGAACGCTAATCCCCGCGAGTAGGCTTAAATCGGCCGTCGGAATTCGGATGTGTCGGCCGACCGACCGTCGGTTACGGGCATTACCTGTCCAAGTGGATCTCTGTTCCGAAGACGGGCTTCTCATCCTCGTTACCGAACTTCCATCCTCCGTTATTGGCTTTCCTTTTCCGTACAAAAATCTAAAAACCCAAAAAATCGAAAAACGGGACGGTCGGGGAGATCACGTGACGCTCGAGTCACATGACCGGTCGGGCCGGTGGCAACGGATATCCGTCCGGACGATTTTCTCACCGCCGCCACGACGGACGGGAGTAAAAATTTCGGCGTAATTATCGTTTATTCCCGAAAAGAAATAATAGTTTGGTGCCCGGGATTTAATTTCCTTTCGAAATATGCGGAGCGCCGATCCGTCTCTTTCCTCCCGACCCTAACTAGAACGTTGCCAGAATCGGCCGTCGGCGGTTCGATGACGTCGAATCTTCGTGTTTCGGCAGACGCCGGAGGGGAACGATATCGGAAAGATCCGAAACCGGACCCGTGCCTCCGATTTTAATTTTCGGCGACGGCGGCAAATACTGCGGCGTGCCGTTATTTCGGAAGCGTGGTTTTCGACTTTTCGGTCGTGCCAGCGTAAACGTAAAACATTTATATATAATAAATTAAATGACTGGTAAATTAAAACGAAATTGTTGATATTTTTACGAGTCGCCATTTACGTGAAAAAAACGAAATGAATTAAAAGTATCGAGGCGCGCGCGATCGTCGCCAGAAATATTCCGCGTCGAACGATAAACGAGAAATTATAGTTTGGAAGCCAAGACAAATGCAACGGTATTGTTTGAAGGAAGAAAGATATTTTCCCTCGGTGAAACTCGAGTAAATGCTGGACACGCGATGCGGAGACGTCGGCGAAACAAAACCGCCGAGTCCTGTAAGGATGCATTTTCGACGGGCTCGTCGTCTGGAATACAGAAGACGAGTCCATCGAAAATGTGAGTCCGACAACCAACAGAATAAGTTAAAATCGAGGGAAACGAAAGTTAAAAAAAAAAAAAAAAAAAAAACAGTAAATTGAAGGGAATTTAACATTGTTTCAACGAGCTGGACTGAGACAGTTTTGTACAATAAATGTAGTTTCGGGGTTTAACATTTGGTTTTTAAAATTGCACGATACCCCTTTTGGAGCCGTCATATTTTCCCCAGACTTTCGATACGCGTAAATTCGATGACACTTATAACATTTCTTTATCTGACCATCCTTAAGATACTTAGCAGATATATCTACAACGCGTATAGATAAAACTTTTCCAACTTTCCTTTCCAATGTTCAAATTCTGCAGAATTAGCATTAAAAATCGCTTTTCTTTTAAATAATATATTGTACTGGAATTCGTAAAATATTAATAAATATATTTATGATAAAAAATAATAGGTCTACATTTAATTGAAAATTACTTACCATTTTCGGAGCTAAATTGATATTCCTCTAAAATCAGTTGTAATTCGTGTTCGGAAATAAGGCGAGCCCTTAATAAGTCACGGAATAGAAATGTATTGTTACAGTTGTTTTCGAGACATCGAAGTCTTAATTTCCTACTTGTAACATCGCTCTGTTTTTCTAAAAAAATCTTTTACGGGAGCATTTATTTCTTCTCACAAATTTAACTATTATTGTTTTTCTTAAAAACTGGATCGTTTTATCCTGTCATTTGATAAACTTTTCTTAAATGAAATTAACACAGATCTTTCTTTCGAGATTGTACTCCAAACACGCAACGATTTTTTTCATCTCATTTCTTTCAAATTATATTAAAATGGTTTAATTAAGTAAAAAGTGTGAAAACAGTAAATATATATATAGTTCGTTCGTATATAAGCAATGTTTTATAAGTCTCAATAAGGATTATTATAGCATAAATTTTGATTTGAATAAAACAAAACATAGCTTCTTTTCTAAGTTTTTGTGTTAATACTGGTTAGTTCGTATTACTGATTACTTCGTTCGATATAATTCGCTAGAGGCGCTACGGTCGGTCTCAGCTAGGATTTCTCAAATGGGATTCCGGTTGATTTTTAACCCGGGGAAATCCCGCAAATTTCTTAAAATTTCACTTTTTTCTTATTTTGTGTTAAGGTCGAGGAAATTTTGCAAATAGAAAGTATAATTAACTCATAAACCGTCGGAATACATTTGTATTTATTAATTTTAAATCTACTTATTAGTTTTTTTTTAATTTTTCTTCGTTATGGCATATCACAAATGATCAATAATCGATACGTAGCTTATTTGTGGCGGAACTCTGAAAATTCTTTACTCGTCGGAACCCATTATATCTGGAATAATTGCGCTTACGCTTCTTAATTTTTAACCGCGCCCGGTAGTTTCGATAACTACGCAACGTCAGGTTGCGCAAATTGGGCGAGGAGACAAACGAGTACGAAGTACGTAAGTATGAAGTTTTTCTTCATAAACCCGATTATTAAAGACAAACGAACTGCCGAATTATCGAGCAATAAACTTGATGTTTCTATTAAAGCGGCCGAGGTAGACAAATCGAGAATACTAGACGGCAAAAGAAGTACAGTAATACAATCTCGAAAACGAACTACAAATCTTCCAGGTTACGGGTGAAAAAACACGTAACACCCGTCTTCTCCTAAGTGCATTAAAGACGATTCCACTAACATCAATTAAATCGGAAAGGGCATTCTCGATAGCGGGACTTTTCGTTAGTAAAATAATAACCAGATTGAGTGATCGGAGTATCGACCATCTTTGATTTTAAAATCTTATTATAAAAATTTACAATAATATTTTGTATTATGTTTTATTTAAGAAACGAAAATTACCTTTTAAGTTAGAAGTTTGATCTAAGTTCATTTTTTAAAATTTTCAACTCAATTCAAAGCTATCACCCCTTTCTCATCAAATGCAACTAGTTATATCAACACATCTGAATTTTTTGCCGAGCATAAATTTTTTTTATTTCTCAAACGTTTTTAACCTACTTATTATAGGCCATTTTTAAAGCCTACGCATGCTCCTCTATATACCCGTATACTATCTTGATCTCACGAGCCATATAAATACAAGTTATCAGCATTTAAGTCACTTATTAGAAGAACGTTTTTATATTGCACCAACATACAGGACCGTCTTAAGGAGATTAGTAGAATTAAAAGAATTGCAACAGATTTAGACTACAAAAGACACCGAAGGCCTTGGTCAAAAATTACAGACAACACAAAGGCAAAAAAGATACTAAAGTAGATGCAATTAAGAAATTCACATACAATAAGCATATAGGAGGAGTGACGAATGAATCGAGTACTTATAAAAACGCAAGAATGGTATATAAAAGAGCTCCCAACATCTATAACTTAACGATAAAGACAGCGTAAAAGTGCAAGAGAAAGCGGGAGTTTATAAAATACCATTTGAAAATCAACAATTAGGAGTAGCAAAGGATTACGTTGGTGTAACCGGAAGAAACTTAGCAATACGTCTGCGAGAACACAAATACAACGTTAATAAAGGGCGCAACAAGACCATTTTAGCAATGGTGGCGCAGACGGAAGGAGCGAATGTAAAATGGGACGAGACAAAAATCATTAAAACGGCCAAATCTCCATCCATCGCATTAGAAATGGAAAATATGGAAGTATATAAAAGTAAAATGAAAAACAGTTGCCTAAATGCCAAGGATGCTAATGCGCTTCCAACAGCATGGAAGTACACGATAGAAAAAAGCACGGGGATTAAAAACCTTTAAAGCTTGTAGTAGTTATACTCAGCCTCGTTTACTGTGTTTATTTATCTACGCTATTTTATTTTATTTTATTTATTTTTTCATTTATCTAATATACACAATTATTGTAAATCTTTTAAATTTAAGATGAAACGTATTCGAAAAACGTTGCGTTTAGGGTTTCTTTCCCGGGATTCCGTTTTTTCGGGATTCTCGCCGTTTATTTCCTACGAGAAAAATCCCGGGAAATTTTATTTTCCCGGGAAATCTCGCATTTCAATAATAATTTACCATGTAGGTTTTCTTTCTATTATTTATTATACGAAAAGTTGCATCTCGAAGACTCACCTAAAAGAGAAATTTTGAGGTTTCTTGCTGCATATTATTACCTATGTTTTACAAGTCTCTACTTGTTAGTTCATGTAATATCTATGTATTGTGTTTGCGCATCATTGAACAGCGGAACATTCGCTGAAAGTAAATATCACTCATCGCATTTTACTTTATTTTTTATTTTATATTCAGAAATAAAATAGTTTTCGTAATCATTAAAACTCCCAATGAAACGCTTTATTGTACTTTCATCTTATAATGTAGGAGAACATAAATTAATTGAGCCTAACGTGTCCGTATGGGTGAGATTGGCCCTACACTTTTAGTTACTTACTAGAAAATAAATTAAATTATTCAAATTTATGATATTCCTGTATGATCTTTTTTATTCATATAAAATTCTATTTTACTATCTCATTTCCCGGGATCCCGGGAAAAGAAATTATTTTTCCCGTAATCCCGCTGGAGGCAAATTTCCTGGGAAATGAGAAACCCTAGTTGCGTTCCATTTTGGAACGGTAATCGTAAGCCCGAAGATGACCTATAATAAGTAGCTTGAAAACGTTTGAAAAATAAAAAACATTCAGGTGTGTTGATATAATCAATTCGAAGCATTTTTTTTTGTTGTTGTTGTATGCCGTTTCCAGCAAACTGTAATAAATTTTTTCTATTTATGAAAGGTAATTTTTAATATATATATCTTACACAGCATTATTAATATGATTTTGGAGGCTGAAGAACGTATTAAATTACTTTAAAATATGAAAAATAATTATATCATTTGATTTCAAGATATTTTGTATATCTTAAAAATAACTAGTTTTATCCCGGAATCCCGGGACAAGCGAAAGACCGGGAAATGAGAAACCCTAGTCTCGGCCAATGCGTAGACAAGCGGCCCGAGCCTGCATTAGTTCTAAATTCCGCTCACGGCGCTGTTCGCCATAGCGGGATTCCATTTGTGCTATTTTATGGTCATAGCTACAAATTATGGATGCTTTATTCGTAATTTTTATTAAATAAAAATGAAAATTAGTTAAATTTTTAGATTATTTAAAAATTATTTACAAACGGAGTTCCGACACGGCGCTGTTGGCCGTAGCGGCATAATTTAGAACTAACGCTGGCTGAGGGGCTAGACTGGAACCGGTGGCTTTTCGAAAGAGACGAGGTCTGTAAGTGTAAGTAGGTCGATAAGTATTATTATCGTTTCGAAATGGCCGACTTCAATTCGACGATCGGTTATTTATCCATTTCGAAATGACCTAGCCTCTATCACATTAATTATCGGGAAAAGAGATTGAAAGAAATGCACAAAGTTTTCGTAATATTGCCACGCGAAAGAACGTTGAAAAAATAAAATACCGGCGTAGTCTCTCGGACCAACAGAGTGATGGAACTGGGTTTAAAAGATGTAATTTAGGTTAAATACAGAAAATGGTTATTTTCATTTTAAAGAACCGTACCACGCCTCTTTTTACTCGGTTTATTTGTTTGTGTAGGTTGACGGTATTTATTGCTGATGGAAAGTGGCGGTTTCAAAGTCCTCCACTTTTCGTTTGTCCACGCAAAGCGCCATCTACGTAATCGGCACAATACGACGTGAAAATTATTGCTCCTTTAACTAATTCTAAATTTATTGGCTTTAAATTATTTATTAAGGAATTGAGACAGAGTATTTCTCGAGTAAACGACGCCACGATTTTGCCAATACCTTCCGACTACCGAGTTGAAGACCGATTGACTTTCCCTTTATACACGCGTGTAAAAGAAGAAAGGTTGTGGTGTAGCCTTAAAAGATAAGAAAGATGGGTGAAGGAAGGAGGGAGAGTGATTTGAGGAAAAATTGGAAAGGTGGGATAGTCGGAGGTTTGAAAGTGGAAGGGTGAGGACGCGAGGGGAACCGTTGGACGAGACGAGGATAAACGATAGTTTACGCCCGCAGAGCAATTTATATTTACGAGGAAGAAGCGGGCCCGTAGAGTAATACTCTGAGGAGTGGGACGGATGAAGCGACCTTGATAAAAGTTAGCAAAAGAAGGGGTGGTGCCGAGAAGAAGCGATCAGGAGTCCCCTTTTGGCAATGGGAGCCTGGGAGACGAACCGTCTGTTAGGTGCCGCTCGGGCCGGTGGCGGTATAGTCCGTTAGTTTTGGTTGTCTCGCAAAGATCTCGAATTCTTGATAGACGATTTGGCCCTCTATAAAGGTGTATAATTTGACGTTAGAATAGAGTCTGGCTTACCTCGAACCTGGAACGGGGGATCGAGAAGTAGCTACAAGCAGTGTATGAGGAGGAGGCCTGTTTGGACGGATTATCTGTCTTGTCATTGCCACTGCTTCCCGAGTGGCCTTTGATCCAGTAAAATTTTATATTGATGGCATTCGAGATTTTGTATATGATCTTTAAGCTATTGTTGATTATGGGGAGGCGGCAGTTACGCTTACGAATCTGGTAAAGGGCGACACGACCGTCACTAATGATAATGTTTTTACTGTTGTAACTGATAATATTATCCTGGATACTCTGAGGGTGTTAATTTTAAGGATGGCTAGCGACTCGGCTTTGGTTGACGGAGCGAGACGGATCTGGCCTATAGGCACCTTTCCAGAAGGTCCTCTTCGTCGGATCGTCGAGGATAACGGCAGTGCCCGCTGCCCCCGGAGATTTGGATCCGTCAGTGTAGTAGTTTATACCTTGTGGGATGGTGGATTGATATAGGAAGATGTTGGAGCCTGGGCCGTTGGCAGGATGATGGGTATGCGAGTCATAGTTAATGTCCAGGAGGAATTTCCCTAAGACACTTATGTCTGCAAGGAGGTTAAACTTTTTAATTAAAGACTGCAAATGGTCCATGTCAATTTCTGATGCAGCTAGCCTAGTTGCTTTAGCTGGTGATACAAAAAATATCAAGGATATCTGACCAATATATTATGTGCACTTTCATCAAGGAGGATAATTGTAAATTTATAGTTTTCCTAGTTTATGTTTAGGACTCTACATGTGTCTGTGGCAGGGGAAATTGTAAATGGACATGAAGCTAGATGCAAAATGAACAAAATAGGCAATTTTATTTCACCAAACAGATGAAAAGCTTACAAGAAACCTGTATTGATATAATTTAGAATATGCTCAAATGAAATAAGTTAATACAAAACTTTTGTTTTTAGGCTATAAAAATTAGACTAACAAGGGAAGATCAGAAGTTGCTATGTGCACTTTTTAATAAAATCAGTAACTATTTGTATAGATCACAAACAGTTACTGATCAGTGATTGCTTAACTATGGTTGTATAGATCTCTTCTTTTAAGTAAAGCCAATTGCATGAATAGACAATAAGCAAGGAGAAAACTTGAAAAGAAGTATACCCATAATTAATAAGTAGTTTGCCTGAAAAGCTTAAGGCCAACTGTGGTATGGTGTAATCGGTAACACTTGCAGTTTCTAACTCAGAATCAATTTTCCATGTTTTTACTTTTTTAAATACAGTTTATTCCTGATTATCCAGGCTAACCAATAGTAATGGAGGCATGGAAACATGGATAATCCACAATTCTGTGTTAATGAAAGTTAATTTATAAGCTTTAGTTGTTATCAGAGTTGAATAAAATTTTCAACATAAACAGAAAATACAGAAAAATTTATTGAACTAGTGCCTTGCAGTTTACTATCAATATCTTGTAAACTGGTGGTTGCCAGCTTGATATTGTCATAAAAGTCATTAATTTTGAAGTTGTAATGATTTATTGATAAGGAAATGATTCAAAATATTTTCTTCAAACAATTTTACAACTTATTTAATGAAAATAAAAAAGCAGTATACACGTGGGTAAGGCAATATTGTTCAACAATCAACTGCAGTAACTGTACTTGTTAGGCCATTTAATGTATGCCTTGACATTTTGGAAGTAGTACTGATGGTCAACATACCATTTTAAGTAGGAAGAGCTAAGAATGAAGATGTTTTTACATTTATTTTAATGCTAATATTCCTGACATAAATTTTTATCAAAATGTAAGCATGTATGGATAATCTGTACAGTGCATAGATAATTGAGAGTAAAAAATAACTTACTAAATTTATTTTAAAAATTTTACATAAAATTGAAGAAAAACACGGATATTTAATATTTCTTCATCTTTTGTCCTTTCCACATCTCAGGAACAGTCTTACAGCAGAGTTGCCCTTTTATTAAAAAAATTAAGTGGTATTAACGAGTATTGACAGACCAGCTTAATACATGGTTACATGAGGAATTATCTGTATGAATTGTCAGTTGATTATATGAAGGATTTATAACCAGATGACTATATGGACAATTAGCAATGTATACCTATGTAAACTTTAGTAATTAAGTTAAAATAATGCAGGTATCAATATAAAAGTGACTGAAGAGAATTGATGTATGACTGAAATGCATTCTATGAATAAAATTAGTCTTTTAATGATGTGATCTGAATTATTTTGTTGCTCTAATATAGTTTGATAAGTTTCCTATATCTCCACCAATTGGAAGTTTGCAATAATTCAGTTATTCATTGGAGGCATAAAGATTTTTTCTTTTATTTCATGGCAGATATAAATTTAATATTTTGTCTCTAGTTAAAACTAATGTGCTATTTTTTCTTTCATTTTCCTTCTACATTTCTAGACACTAAACTCTTGCTGAGAAGAACTTGTGAATTATCAAAAGTACATGTGAAAATACAAATACCATTGTTTAGCAACCCTAATTATATTTTCACACGCACTTTCACAGGTAACAAAAATACAGAAGAAAAGCAAAAAATAAAATAAAAAAATAGCAGATTTGATTTCAACTATAGAAAATATTAAATTTACTAGGAATTCCTTCTTTGTACATATGTATTCAAGTTATTCTGAAATAAATCTATCAGATGCTCATAGTTAAATGAGCATATTCTTGATTCTCACCATAAAATACTGTGAAGTTTATATTTATTGTCAAAGTTCCATTTCAAATATCCTTTCTTCTGGTATGGGGTAATTGTAAATGCCAAATTTTGCAGTTTCTATGGCGAACAACCAAAGTACTGTAGTAAGATACAAATTCTATTTTAGTGTATTCCTTTACTAATTAGTACAAAAAATATGACAAAATCTCACTAATGATGACAACTGTCATGATTATAGATGACACCTCTAATCCTGAAACTAAAAAAAATGGACCCCTTTGTTTTTAGTAAACAAAATTTTAAGTAGGACCATAATAAAGACATTCATAAAGCACCCTCTGTACTTTTAAAGGAGTCTCCAGATTTTCAGATTGTGCAGATGCTTAGATTACAATGTTAGAGGGAAAAATTCACAATTAACCCAGGCAATCTGATGTTGGTTCAATTTTAATATGGTCTAAAATTCTGGCATATTTCTGACATACAAAAGATGCCTTTGTTTGCATTTTCTGTATGTCAGAAATGCTATCTTTGTTTTTTATTGTTAGTAAATTAATACCATGAAGCTGAATTTCTTAACTGATTATCTTTATTCTGCAATATGCCATCATTATTATGCAGCTTTTTATTTTATATTTCTCTAAATTAATACTTTCATTTCTTCCTACAATCATTACTACCTCTTGAGGAATTTGAAAATTGTATGCATAAACTTTTGATTCTGATGGTGTTGAATTACTGCACCTTCTCTGATAAAACACAGATTTTTTTTCCTTGCTCATAAATAAATGTCTGTTAAACTGATTTTAAAAAATTTAACTAAGATTATCATTATTGCTCAAATTATTTAGATATGGTAACTTATTCTATTTTTACTGCCTTATCGTGATGTTTTCACAGCTGGAGCTTTGCATTTACAAGATGGAAAGTTACTACAATCAGACACGGATAAATTATATAACTATGCCATGCATTAGCATCAATAATTCAGTAAAACGAATAACAAAAATTTAAATTGTTAGAAGACATTTAAAATTGAAACAAATGCAATAAATGATAATGAATATACAGTGCATTTATAAATCACAAATAAAATTTTAAAAATAAGCATAGTAATTATAAATTTCTGAACTGATAAAAAAAATATATATAAATTTAAAATGCATAGACACAAATTCACATACAGGGATAAATTTATAAGAGCATGCTTAGAGTAACCATTGTGTTATTTACATGGCAGCTAGCCAGGTAAATTGATATGGTAGAATATGATGATTAATACTTTTTTACGTAAAAATGATTTTTAACAATTATATAAACAGCTTGCTGTATATTATATTACAATTGTAAATTTGTCTCTGTAATCCAAAAACACACTTTGGTAGATGTATCTTACAGCAATATCTGGTTAGCAAATTATCTTTTATTTTTCATTGGACTACAAATATATTTCGGGTTGGTACAATGTATTCCAACCCCTCTTCAGTGCTATTACAAATAAGAATTTAAAGAAAATAGAAATGGACAACAGGTTAGCTGATTTAACGAAGAAGGCAGAAATGTTGGAACATGATATGAATTACCTAAGATGTTTTCTTAGAGAAGAATATACACCAAATACCATGAAATTGAGAAAATCCATAAGGGACATTATACCAAAAGATGCTATCTGGAAACAAAATTGGAAATGTAAGTGTTTTTTGTGATTTGATTTGTTTCATGCAATATAACATAGTCATGTTTTAATATTTCTTGTTTTTATTTGTAATAGCACTGAAGAGGGGTTGGAATACATTGTACCAACCCGAAATATATTTGTAGTCCAATGAAAAATAAAAGATAATTTGCTAACCAGATATTGCTGTAAGATACGTCTACCAAAGTGTGTTTTTGGATTACAGAGACGAATTTACGATTTTTAACAATTTGAATTACAAAAGAAAAAAATGAAATAATTTGTCTCAGTAAACAATAAAACAAAATATGTGTTTGTGTATTTTGGTGTTTTGTTGTTTACGCAGATTATTCGCGTATACTAGATTTGGTAGATTCTAGTTTACAACGAAAGAATTGCCATTTTTTCACTCCTAACAGAGATAGGCATTAGGAGGGTGACAATTTGACTAGACAAAAACCATTTAGCATACATTCATACCATTTAGTGTTTTTTGACAAACATTTAACGAAATGATACTTTTGTTAGAAAACCACGAATAGTTTTCACTGAGTTTTTTTTGCCTATGTTCGTTTTAATTAAATTAATTTTGGAAAAAACTTTTTCGCACGAAGCACTGGAGAGTGATAATACCAATAAATCTAAAATAAACCTTCCCAAGTCTGTAAATTTCAAATTTTCCATTATTTCAGTAAGTTTTAAGAGTTTGTGCCGGTATTTATCAACCGGCTTATCACTTTTTATATCACTTTACCACCTTGACTCCGTACAAATGTCACTGGACATCAATATATTATAGCAAAGGTTCCCAACTTACTTTTATCACGGAACTCTTTTTCGTCCTAAGAAATGTGGAACCCTGCAGATATCAACGAATTAAAGCATACTAAGTAGCCACTTCATACCAAAACTGAAACCAAAAGCAAAACTCCAATTAAATATAATCAAAATTAATTAATTAAAATTGAAGCAATGTTTTTAAAAACCATTTAAAAGTTGTTTTGAAATCTTCAAAACAACTTTTAAATTTGTGTGCAGTGGTGACAGATCATCTTGCTTTTAATATACAGTATAGCCCTATATACAGATTTAACGATTGTATTTTTATTTATATGTTAGATCCTTTTTAAGATAATGTTTTTTTTTAATGATTTTGTAGCTTTAGTTTATGTTTTACTGTTTTTATGGTTTCCATTACCTTATTGTCAAACATTATATCGTGATTTAGGTTTGTTCCGTTACCGGTAAATCGGTTCCCACTGTTTATTCAGCACGTGCATAAAAGTCGTCCTCGTATGACGGACGATAGGAGGCGAACAATTACACCTCACATCCCAAATCTGCATTGGCACATTCAAATATTTAGTAGACTCAACGGATTTTACTGGCGGAACCCTAGGTTTCCACGGAACACAAGTTGGGAATCCCTGGATTATAGCAATTCGTAGTTCTTTCGGTCTGAAACTCTGACAGTTTACTCGGAAAATATTGGACAGAGTTTGGCTTCTTTTTCGAAAATGTCAAATTAGATATAAGCGCGGAAGAGGGCGCAGATTACAAAATAATTTAAACTAGGAAAAGTGTTCGAAAGTGAAGCCAAGCGAGAGTTTGCGAACTCATCAGATCATTGGAGGGGGGCTAAATTAAAGCGAATGGTCACTGCATAAGCAATCAATTTTTATCTTTGTTCTAAAACTTCTCTAACTTAAATAATAAAGGTCAACGCGGTAAAGGGTATTTTAATTCCTGTATTTAACAAAACACAAAAATAATTAATAGAACTCGATTGGAATTTTCCCATAGACTTATAATGGGAATCCGAAACTCAATGTGCTCTCGTTATTAATCGTTTTTTGAAATGAATTTCTGTGTAAGGTATAATACGTTAAGATATTCGGGTGAAAATTCGGCCTTCGTCACAACGCGCCATTTTATTAGTTCTAATGCAAAATTTCGTACGAGTCATTACTTCAAGATGTGTTTCGGTGATTTGTCAATTTGAGTCGCTACCGAGGAAGCTCGCTGGCTTCGCTCGAATGAAAATGTCGCGGATTTTGTGCAAAACTAAAAAAGTCTACTAAAATGGCAAAATAATACAATTATCGATTACGGTACGCTCAAATTTATTGGAATTGTTTGTAAATTATGGTACAAATCGCTAATTGTGTTACGGTTGGTAAAATTGCGGATCACGGAACGTGAAAAAAAATTCTTTTAACACAGTAAAAGCATATTGATAAAAAAGATTAGAAAAACTATGCAGAAAAAAAAAGAATAAACCGAATCGAAAAAAATAAACTAAATTCAAAAATATAAGATTAGATCTGGTTTAAAAAAGACTAAAATGGTATCACGGGGCCATGTGGAAAGATTAGGGTCGGGAGGCCCCGATTGACTATATACGAACTTCCGGTTTATGCTGGAAGTCATTTATTGTATTTCAATTCAAAAATTCCCCACCCTCGCAAGGAATTAGACGACAGGCACGACTCTATCGTTAACGGAAATGTATAGGGGTAAGCCACTACTAATTTGAGGAGGAGTACATATATTTTAAATAAATTAAAAATTGCAGCCCGGTATTATGACCACGTCGCAATAAATAATTGCTCGTTTATTTTTAGACTGCCGAAGGTAAACTATGGATTCGGATTCGTTTTCGGACGGAAAATGCGGCGAGAAACCTTATCAGTCGGTAGGGATTTCTAGTCCGGTGGGGGAAATCGTGGTGGTGGGTTGCCCTTTCGGACTACACTGGATAAAACAGAGGCGAAGGATCGACGACGAAGATTTTCCTTTTACCGACGCGTAAGTATCGCGGCTAACTTTATTGGCTAATTATTTATTATTAATGTCCGAATTTTCTCCGATAGGCCGGTTCGAGTTTTACCGGGAAACGGAAAAGAATCCGAATGGTATGGACCCAACGCCCAGGCCGTCGCCTGGATAAGGGATTACTTCCGAGATCCGTCGGATTCTCGGCGGCGGGTCCGACCGCCCCTGTGCTCCGCCTCCCTCAAAAGTACAGGTAAGATAATTCCTTCCGCCCGCTATTAGGGAACCGCGTTTATTTAGGTCACGCGCTCCGTCTTATCTCCGATCGTTCACGTCGTAATCGGTATCGAAAGACGATTTTTTGACGGTTTAGGGAAAAACCGAGAGAGAATGCCACTTTCCCGCTTTTACGTACACATAAGAAGGGAAAACATTTGAATCGTGTCGAATTTCACCCTCCGAGTTTTTTTCTAAATCTTCACGTTTCGAGATCTCCCGAACCCAAAATAGTAAAAAACGGAAAAAATTCCACGCGTATGTGTCGTCGTCTATTTCGTTTAGTATCTCGGGACGGTGTAAAGAGTAAGGACCCACTAGGGACGAGCGGTTCCGTTCCCCGAACACTGGGAGTCGGTCGTGGGTTCGCACCTGGCCACGTGGAGTTTTACGAGTTTTCACCACGTCTATAACGCCTAAATACGAGCCAGTTACCCTTAAAAAGACCTCCCGGAAGGCATCCCCTAGGCAGATCGCCAAGTAACGGGAAAAGATGGCAAAATTTACTTTTCGGAAGAATTGATAAACGAATTTTAATGGGGCAGATTACAAAGATATTTAAAAACATTAGAAAAACTGAGGAATGGCCGGTGTTTGCATTCCTAACGCCAATGGTTTTGCCACGGGTCGAGTCGGTCCGTCGACACTTTTTTTTTGTGCCGGCGAAGCAGGTGTTTTGGGTAGTGGGATTGGCGGAAATGGCCGTTTTAGATCCGACGCTAATTTATTTTTCTCTCTTTTGCAGAATTTACGGATCGAGTCCGGAAGACGATGGAGACGATTCCGGCGGGTTCCGTCGTCACCTACGGAAAACTGGCGGAATCGGCGGGCCGTCCGAGAGGCGCCCGGGCGGCGGGCGGGGTGGCCAGATCCAACCCCTTCCCGTTTCTGGTGCCCTGTCACCGAGTCGTGCCGAAAGCGGGAGGGACGGGAGAATATTCGGGAGGAAGAGCGGTCAAAAGGTGGCTGTTGCGACGCGAGGGCGTGCAGACGCGGCCGGAAAAACGGCCTCGGACCCGGTCTAAATAACTGCCGGACGGCCAAGGAAAAATTAACTCTTTTTTTGACTAATAAAAATTGATCCATCAAGATTCTTACCCGGAAAGCTACCGGGCAAAAAAATACGTCGGACCCGGTATTTCCGCCCGATTTTTTCTCGTTCGTCTCGTATTTTCGCAGGGGAAATTATTTTGTTTTAATGGATAAAGCGCCGCGCGGTGGTTCCGATAAGTAATTTGGCTCCACAAAACTATTTTTTTTTTATGTGGTAAAAATGTGGAAAGATGTCCACTTTTCGTACATCGAATTATTAATTTTTGGTACGAATAATAATTTGCAAAAATTTTGGTTTTATTAAGGCAAAAATAAGGCGACTGTGATAAAATAAAATATATCTGAAATACGGACTTGTTGAGATTTATTTCTTTACTAGCGAGGCAAGGCCGGCCTTGCCCGGGCAAAAAATAAGAACAAACATTAAGATTAGCTAATGTCATACATACAACCCTTCTATTCTATTATAGAATTTGGTTTATATAACTACAAAAGTTATCTTAACATAGCCCATCTTACCCGTTTTCACAGAGTGTAAGAATCCCCCTCTTCCCAGGCTAATTAGAGAATTTTTAGATGGGTCTAAAAATGTGTTGGATTTTCGCTGAAACGCAAAAAACCGCATCTAGAATAGCGCAGTAGAAGCAGAGTTCTTCGGGGTAATCCTTAAACCTCTTCCCCCGCGGGGAAATTTCCAAAAATCCCTCTTTAGTGTACATTACTACGACCTACCTTAACTGTGTACCAAATTTCAACTCCTAACCGTTTGGGCTCTCGATTATATTATAAAAACCGATTATCGTTATCCTTGTTGGCTGTCTCGGAGTAGTCTCGATGTACTGTACAGTACAGTACAGCACACGCTTGCTTATATAAGTTAATACGCGAATTGTGTAAATCTATTTCATTAAAATCCACACGGGTAAAAAGTATGTCGCGATTTATAAAGATAGAAATCTACCAGTCAAAAATGACCGTACGGTGTGTACTCGTTGGCACTCTGAACGACGAGTTCAGAGTGATATTTTCGTTGAAAATAACGATAAAATACAACCTGGCAGTTAACATAATAAGGATTACAACTCGCGTTATCGCGAGTACCGGTCGGAAAGAAACTCGGAGGAAATGTAAAAACCGATTTCATGGTTAAAAAAACAAAGACGAGTTACTAAAAATACGTAAAGACGAAGCAAAGTTACGGAGGCGTATATTCCCACTGACCGGAATTTGTTTCCGGCGATGTAAAAATTTCGATACGGCCCCGAAATGGGGAAATTATTCATTTAAAGCCGAGAAGTCCGATTTACGCGGTTTTTAAACCAAATGGCGTCTTTCCATAAATTAGCCGTTATTTCCCCCGCTTTAAAGACAAATTTTTCCGGACAGAACGAGCATAAATACCGTCGGAGACGGTCGAATCGTCGACGTTTTCGTAATTCCGGTCTGGAAAAATTAGAAAATATCGACGGAATTTACCGGAACATACTTCGATTAAAACTACAAATCTTAGCGGAAAAAGTCGCATCGGAAAACCGGCGAAATTACGAGCTGGTTTCCAGTGGACGGGCCAACCTGTAAAATTTCCGAAGGTTTACCTTTTACGCGTAAACCTTTCCGACCGAAAACCCGGGCGCAAAATAGTTTTAAGGACTAGGCCGGAAGTGGCCTAAGAGTACGATGAGCGGCGTTTAGAATTTGTCCGGATTCTACCAGATTAAATCCAGAAATTGGAATTTTGCGATTTATTTTATAAAACGAGACCGGTCGGGGAAGAAACTTTATTTTCTTTTTGCCGCTAACACGTGGGACGATTATCGCCACCGACGTAACTTGGGAGGCAGAGGCGGAGGAACCTTGGGAGGTAGAGGCGGCGGCCGATCCATCGGAGGGGAAACGCTCGCCTTCAGCACCTGAAAAATACGCGAGAAATTAATAAACCTTTCGCACTAATTTTTAATCAGGAATAAAGAAAGTCGACGACGGGACTACCGATTGGGAAGTTAGCGGCGCCGCGCCAATCGTCCACGACATTTCCATACGCGTGCGGGAAAGATGCGATGCTACCGGTTTTCGGTACGCGCCACAATCCAATTTCATTTAAATCAAACTAATAAAAACCGCGTTAATTGACATTCGAGAATTCGTCTTTAAATATGCTTAAGTTAAATTAAATGATAAAAATGTATTAGTATAATACTAATGTAGGAAATGAAACAAAAACAAATTGAAATCAAATCAGTCAATAGATAAAAATTCGGAAAGAGCGGATAAAGTACTGTACTTTCTGCCTGTCCCGACTGATTTGGTTCTATTTCGTGCAGGCAGTGAGTCGAGTCTCTCTATTTATAGCACTTCTTTGTAAAGTGTTACTTTCTGTCGGCTCTTTTCGGTTTAACAGTTTGCTTATTATACACGGTGTTCGGGGATACCCGAAATACGGGTATCTCCGAACACCGTGCTATACGGGGATATCCGTATATATCAGTGGCGCGCCGTCATCGGAAGCGGCGGAAGAGCCACTTCCCTCGTATTTTCTAAAAAATAATTAAAATACATATTGTGTCATTATTTTCATATTTTAATGTATTTTGAATTAATTAAAATTAATATTTTATTATAACCGTATTATGTATCTTATTACAAATTTCTATACTATACGTGAAAAAACGATAAGATTGCTATTATATATTCGAATATCAATGGCGGAATGGAAGCGCTGTATTGTCGAAACCGGGTCGGCTTCCGAGCAGCCAGATTATACGCATTCGCACATGCGCTTTACAGAGCACCGACCTCGCTCGGTTTAGCCGGTGGAAACTACGCACCAAAATATCGCATAACGCTTCCGATGATTCTATCCGGGACCGGTTCTGGGCTCTTAACCGCCTGCCTGCTAAATATTTGGCCACCCTCGCCCCATTATATGAATCGCGAGTAGATTTATAATTTACCAGTAAATTCCTATCGGTTGGGTTATGTTTTTATGATAGTTCTGTATAGTTGACGGGAGTTACAAAAAGCCATTAAAATATTTATTCTGCTTTTATTCCGCTCTCCCATCTTATACAGTAGAGCCTCGAATATCCGACCCCCGATTAACCGACTGTCTAGTCGGCAAATTTCAAATGTCCGCTAGTGATGTGGCGCTACAATATTTGGTTATGTCTTGGCTACTTTAATATTATTTTTACGTGTTTTAGCTGGCAACACTCATTCGACCACGAAAGGGAGCCAGTATTTAAACGAGGCTTAATTTTCTAATTTTTAACGACACAATAGCGACGATTATTATTTTAAAAAATTTTTGTTAGGCTTAACATCGATGAAAATTCAACGCGAAGTAGGTTAATAGCGATATACTAATATACTAATTACATGGGATATAATNAATTAACCGTTACTTCGACAGCGTCATTTACAACTAAATTTAATGATGCACCAGGTACAGAAAAGGCTCTAGAATATATTTTCCTTAAATTTATGATTTATGTATCCGTTGTCATAAAAATTTGTCTTTCCACTTTTTTCCCGAGATTACAAATATTCGAGTACAAAGTAACCGGTTTCGACTTATTTCTATTTAAGAAGTAGTTACATAATTAAGAGATTAGGGAATTGGGGACATAAATAAATGTAAATTTTGGAAATTTCCGTGGAACCTGGTCTTAAAACAAATTACTTAGAAAACAAATGACAATTAAGTTTAACACATTTAGATTTTTACAGCTATGGTGAGAAATTTTTAAAATTTACAACGCGTCCTTTGAGATATACTAGTGGTGCGACAAAAGAGGCATTTGACATTGACCGGTATCGGCGCCCTGGGGATTTGGCAGTCCGCGTGTATGCACGCACTGCAACCCGTCTCTGATTCCATCCATTAACCATTCGTACGAAGCTATTTGAGTAAGTGAATTGTTTTAAGATTTAAAAAGTAAAGAATATTTTGTTATTTTTATGTACTGTACGTTTCTTTACAAAGCTATATTTAATTATAATTTTCTTTAAAAGTATATTCGTACAATTGAAGAATATTTTGTACCGCGTATGTATATCCACCACACATTTTATTTCACTAAGTTTTTATTATTTTATTTTTAATTTTAGCCCTTATGTTGTGGCTAGCGATTCGGAATGTAATTGTGATATTAAAAATATATTTTTTTAATATCACAATTACGGTAATACGGTAATTTTTTTTGTTTTTGTAATTGTCGAATTTGTTTTATTTTGTTTTCAAATTTACTTACACCGTATTTCTTCACTCGAAGTTTACGCTTTCCTCCGTTTATAGTTCGGTTACTCTGTCGTGTATCGGGTGAAGTTAAAGGGGATCGGAAACGTCAGAAATAATGGCGCCGGACATAAATGCACACCTCGATACGCACGGCGATCATTTTCGGCATCCTGCTATGTAAGCGTAATGTCATACGCAAAGTACCGACGTTCACGTTTCCAATAAAGCTTATTTTCCGCGATGATTCTCGCTCTGCCGAGCTTATGCGGTCTTGACTCGACACACTATACAGTACTTTAATTTAGTCCACCGTATTATTTGAAGCACAATTACATTTGTTAACTTGATACAAGTGGAGAGAAATACTGTAATTAACATATTAGTTGATTCGTAATTAATAGTAATTAGTTAAATCTTTTTACGTTAATTAAAATTTGACTTCTAACAAAATCAAACTTTTTGGAATAATTTTCTTCTTAAATAGTTGGAAATAGGGATTTTTCCAAGTTAATAGCGAGGTTGAGGCCGAAGTTTTAAACGGGAAACGTATACGTCGGACGTTCAGCGCTGCTTTCCTGTAAGCCTACAAGTTTGACAATGGTATTTGGATAGTCGGTGGAATCATGCTCGACATTTCAAACACCATTGTCAAACTTCTAGGCTTACGGAAAAGCGGCGCTGAACGTCCGACGTACACGTTTTACCGTATAAAACTTCGGCCTCAACCTCGCTAATTTTTCCTAATAGCGTTTGAGAAATCGTCACTCTTTCCAGAAAAGTAAACGGAATTAAATTTTTAAACTAACTTTTGTCACAAAAGGCTATTTTTATGAAAAAATAGATCTCGATAAATTAATTAATTTATTATTACATCGGAGATTTTTGTTACTTTCTCTCGCTAAAAATAATAAATCAAGTTTTTCCACGTAAAAAAACTTACCTCTTTGGGAATTACTGTAAGATACTCTCCACTGTCCGGTTCGTGAATATTTTCGTCGTACCGTCGTTCGTCATCCGAACTTGAATTGTTTGACTCCTGAAAATAAAAAAAAAACACGTAATGGCTTAACCGATGATGCAAAAATGTATAAATCAGAAT